GGTATTCGTGGTCTTTGTGTGGGATCTGTACCTGTATATTTAGTGAGTGTTTCCTGAAATATAAGTGAGAGCGTATTAACTAATTCCATGTCTACGTTATCAGTGATGGATGAGGAAGTGCCTGTAGTACCATTAGTGGTAGTTGTTGTATGTGTGCTATTATCAATGCTTGTTGCTGGACTATCCTGACAGGTTACGTGATCTTCATTAATGTTAAGTGTTTCTGTTTGCTGATGTATTTGATCAGCAACCTGTTGTTTGATAAGTTCAAGTGTTGTTTGTGGGATAAGGTTGTTGTGTATAATTGTTCTTTTTTGATCAACAACCCTTTGTTCGGTGACAGTTAGGTGAGGGTATTTTTGTGTGAATCTATGGTGTAGTTGTTGTCTGTATGCTGTCTTGTTTGTTTAGAGTTTTGTGATTGCGTAGTAAGTACGGATGATAAACTCATTCACTTCTGTTGTCCATTTCATCCGTTGGCGTAGTTTTCCAGACTTTGTGGTCTGTAGATGATTTGCCACAGAAACACCAAAGGCTAGGTTTGTTCCTCACATCTGTTGAGGGCATTGCAGTAGCCATGCTTGGGCTGGCGCTGCTTTTGCCACCAGTAACCAAGGGAGACTATGGCCTATTTTTCGAACATGAGCCTCTGCCTAACCCACGAACGCGGACCTTTTTAACCCAGGCAACATCTGAGCCAGTATCACACTTTGATCTGGTTACTACCATGATAAATATCTCCACAGAATGTGGGTGTGGTCACTCTTAGTTTCATTTCTCCCCATAGACGTTACTGGCATGGGTGTCCCTACCAGGAGCTTGTGCTCCAGCCTGCATTGCTGTATGGTTCAGTAAAATTACTGGGCTCTCCCACCACAACCAGGTGGTGACCAAAGGAGAGTTATTATTATTATTATTATTGTAACAATAAAAGCAAAAGGTTTGGATATCTCTCTAAAATTGTGTTTACTTATGTAAATGTATTTTTAAAATTATTCAAGATATATATGTTAATATAATAATTTACTAAAGTTACATTTACCATCCTCTAGTTTGATCTACTCCTTCTGCTATAAAATCAGCTGGAAAATTTTCTTCAAATTCTTTTTTATTTTCAAAAGGATAATGCACTTGGGCATAAGGCATACTTCCACTTTCAAACCAACAGTCAAATACTTCTGATATACGACGAAGTACTCCCTTATTCATTTTTGATGGAATTGTAAGTTTATCAACTCTATAAACATTAAATTTTGTTACATCATTAAAAGTAATATTTTATTAATAATTATTTTAATAACTAAAAAAATAAAAAGTTTAAATTAAAAATAAAGAAACTTTATAAAATAATAATTTCTCACGTTTCTCTATGAAGATCATTTACTTTTTGACCACTTAACTTCTCAAGTTCACTTATAGAACCCACACAAACAATCTAAAAATTTAATAAATGTAAATTGACAGTTACTTTTGATGAAATCAATAAGTAATAATAATATGAAAACTCTCTTCCTTCTATCATATTATTAAAAATTATTATCAATAATAAATTTCTATGATAAATATAAAGAATTTTTAATGTTAAATATATTTGAAGAATTGGATATAAAGAAATATTCTGTATATAATACAAGCATCAAATCAAGATAATTTTATTCAGATATTTTATCATATAGTTTTTTGACATAAATTCTTGAAAATATTACTCACTATAAAAGTTCTATAATTTAAAATAAATGATAACAAAAACAGTTTAATAATAATTTTAATTTTTTAACCTGTATAAACCAAAAGTAAAAAACATGCAGTCTTTTATGACTTTTAGTGTAGCCTGATAAAATAAAAAACATCATAAGTTTATCAATTACTATACACACTAATAGTGTGATTGAGATTACAAGATAATCTCAATTTACTCTTTAACAACTTACTATTGAGACCTTAGTGAACAATTACTGCTGTTGGAAAAATGTTTTATTCTATAATATATTTCAAAGAATAAATTGAGATCACCCTGTAATCTCAACCATACTATTATAATGTTTATATTAATTGATACAAAAACACCCCTCAATGTTTCATAATAAGAACTGTTATTAGTAAGTACAGTCGACCCCCCTATAACGTACGTTCCTATAACGACAATTCCTATAACGTAGCGAAAAAATTGTAGAAACTTTCGTATAAAGTACCTCTTATAACGTCATTTCGCGACAAGATTGATAGAGTCTGGACCAATAGTGGATGAGCAGCCGAACTACTTTCCTCCGACCCTGCGCCACGCTACGGAGCGGCTAAATTGAGTTTGCTATCGTCTGTTTAGTATTATATATAAATTATATATAAATTAGGTACTGTACATATAATTATATATTAATTATATATAAATTAGGTACTGTATATATAATTATATATTAACTTAATTTATTGTAACTTTATTATAATTATATATATGCTTTCTGCCGCCTGGCAACACGCTACGGAGATTTTAGGCTAGTAAGTTGAGTTTATTATCGTCTGTACAGTATGTAAATTAGGTACCGTAAGTCTAATACAGCACTAATTTTATACATTTCTTGTGAAAGAAACACTTCTTATTCAACGGCCATAAAAATTATTTATATTAATGATGTCTCCAAAGGTCAAGTTATCTTTCTGCGATAAATTATTTATCAGATATCGCGGCCGCCGTTTCGTGTGCTGTTCCGCGACGAAGACAAGCTTTGAACAACGGGCGTAGTCGAACGGTACACACTCGGTAAGTAATCCTATAATTTTTTGTTTATAGCATAGTTTATACGGATTACTCCCAAAAAATTATACGTGTTTTGGAAATGTTGAGTCGAATTAGTCTAGAATCGGTTAATTTTATAGAAGAAAACTTTTCGAACAGCCTTAGTCCGTAAAGTTCCCACCTATCGGGCTGCGATTGGATCATGTATTTAATCATTCCTATAACGTAAAATTCGATTAGCGTGGAACGTATATAAGCGTTATAGGGGGGGTCTACTGTATTGCTTATGTTAAGTTTAATTATGTTGTCATGAATTTTAAGCTATTAAAGTATGTTTTCTGTTATTTTTTCAATAAAGTGATCTATATAAATATAATACATGTTTATTCAATCGTCAATATAGCATGCAACTTTCATTTTAAAAAGTTAATTTCTGATCTAGACAACTATTCTTTTCTAATTAAAAAAAAACTATTCTTTATGAAGTAAAACACCAACGTGACAAACTAAATTTAAAAATTAAAAAAACATTACAACTAGTTTTAACTAAACAAACCTAGTCACAATTAGTCATCATATAATAAATCTAGTTTTCAAAAATTTCCTAAAATTAAAATTATGCTAAAAAATATCTGGTTAAAATATCTTGCAATACTGTACATATCTTCAAAGTGAGCTAAAACAAATAAGTACTGTATTTCCTTGATTGGGCTGCAATTTGTAAAAATTGCAGATCTATAAATTCCCATTGTCTATCTGTCCTTCGTTAATCTTGATAAGACTTAAATGAAAGATGAGACCAGATATGGATAGTTTAGGAGCAGGAGGCCCTAATTAGCTATATACGAATGTCTGATGCAAACCAGAAGTCATGTTATTTCAATTCAAAAATTTTTCCTTGAAAGAATTAGATAATGATTGGCACAACTTCATTGCTAACAGGAAAAGTATGATGTACAGGGGCAAGGCACAACTAATTTGAGGTGGGGCATATATTTTAAATTAAATAAATTAAAAATATAATTAAAAATTGCCTGACAATGTCACAATAAATAAATGCTTGTTCTAAAGTACTTTTTTAGCCTATTTTTATTGTTCAAAATAGAGCTATCTTATATTTAATAACTGTCATTTTGGACTGTAATATATAATGATGCCATTGATATACATTTATGGTATCTTACTTTGCAATCCAAAACAACAATTAGCAGTCATCACAAGTAGACTATGTGCACCAATAAAAGCATCAGTAATTCTAGGAAACAAAAATAATAATTGTTTTTGTTAAGTATAAATTAATTTCTTTGGATTTAGACAAAAAATTAAGTGTGCTGATTTTAAATATAAACTCAAAAGTTTTTTTTATTATCTAAATCTTAATGTTTATTATTTTCTTAAAACTTCACTCTGCACTGAAGATAGCCAATGTTTTTAAAATACTTATAGTTATCAAACAACACATAAGGCATATGGAATTGGAAAAATGCATTCTCATATTTCTAAGAAAAAATATAACAGATATAATTTTAAGAATGAAGAAAGTATACTGTTTGCAGAGAGTACATTGCCTTAAATTTTACCTTCCATAAAGAAAAATCTTAAATTAAAAATTTCAAAAACTATACGATAATTCTTTTTCTTGTAAAATATATAACTTAATTGTTAGTATATAAAATTCTAGCAGATCCCACAATGCATCATTATCGCTCAAAATGTATCTCTTATAAATGTATAACACTTCCCCGCGATAAGAATTTCGAAAAATCCCTTAGTGAACATTCTCTTGACATATCCCATTAAAACACAATCAAAAACGCAAAAAACCGCATTTAAATAGTATAATAGAAGCTAAGTTCTTCACAGTAAACCTTAATTCTGTCCCTCTCCCCCACAAGGGGAATATCAAAAAATCCCTTTTTAATGTATATTCTGTTGACACACCTTATTAAAATGCAATCAAAAACACAAAAAACCACATATGAAATAGTATAAATAGAAGCAGAATTCTTCACGATAAGCCTTAATCCTGTCCATCTCCACTCCAGTGGGGGGAATTTCAACATGTGCGTATTCAAATGCAACGTTGTGTCAAAGTTTCAAAAGAATCGGTAGGAACAAATGAAATTACATTTTTATTTATATAGATAGATAGAAGATGATCTGCTTTAGTTCATCCTCACAGAAACACATAATGCCTCACAGAAAAGCAAATGTAGATTGTCGTACTCGCAGAGTTAGCGCCATCAGTTGGACTTAAAAGCCTTAATCCTAGATGATATCTTTTAATTTATATGAATGTTTAACAGAATAATATACAGCCTATGTCCACCCTGAAGTTCCATTCTAAATATTGGTGAAAGAATGTTTGAAATCAGATGAGTAGTTTCGGAGATTACCCCTACATCCAAACTTACAAACTTTACCTCTTTATAATATTAGTATAGATAATAAACTGGTAAAAAGTTTATTCTAGAAGATTCTCAAATATAAAAGATTTTGTTCACAATAGTCATAATTCACTAATTATGATAATAAGTAGAATCATATTTGTTGTTTTCAATGCTAGAAAATTGAGCTGAATAAAATTTATTCTTAAATCTAGTTTATTTAGTGTTTTAAAATAGAAGCAATATTAACTGATTTAATGGATGATTTTGAAAACAATTCTTTTCAAACTTTGCTTCAGAACAAATTAATTCAGTTCATAAGTAATTCTTTTTAAGCTTGTTCAATATTGTCAACTGGCATTGTTTACAAATATACAAATAAATATAGAGCTATTAAGCCAAAGTTTAGACTTCAATCGTCACATTAAATGGTTTAATGGTCCACTCAAGGAATGTTTAGCAAAAATTAAGTAACTTGTATTTGTTTATGTTAGTGACTTGTTTGTAAATAGAATTAAACTCTGCTGCATGTATTTTGTAAACACCCAAAACTCTGTCTTAAGTCTATGGCAGAATTTTCCATGATATTCCTAAAGGACATGATCTAATCAAAATTCCAAATAGCTTATGACATTCACCAACCTAAACTTGATGTCCATACCAAATTTGGTTGAGATCAATCAAGTAATTTTGGAGGAATTTTTTAAAAATCCAATGGCATCTGAGTGTAAAGAAATTAGCTTCACTCAGTCAGCTCAATAAATTCAAATTAAGATTTATGTAACCTAAACTAATTACCTTTTCTGTTTCAATTTATATCATAGCTAATAATCTACAATTCAAATTTAAATATTAATGAAAACAGATTATTTTTTTACCAAAATATATTGATATGTATTGTTTCAATACATTCATTATAAGTTTACGTACTTTCTTGACACAAAATCAATAACATTTTTTCATATAAAAAATAATTAGGACACAAGCATGATGTAGTTGTTACAATATTTTTTTATTAATAACAGTTTCAAATCATTAAAGCTTTTAATTTATTTACATTTTTACAAAATTTTATAATTTGCAAGTATTAATTATAAAATGTCTTAAGTTATTTTCCATTCCTTCTAATTATTTTACTGTTCCAGTTCATCAAATTTATCAGTATAGAGGTCATCTGTTATAGCTTTTTGTTTATTATGTGTTAATCTTTAAATAATAAAATAAAAACAGTTGACGAAATTAAAAGTGTAATGTATATTAGTATACTTACTTATTGTTAATAAGCTTTTACCTAGCAGTAGTTTCATTAACTTGAGATAATTAAACTATTCATCAGAAAAAAATTAAGTATTTCAAAAAGTCATCCAATTCCCAATTTTTCACATTATCTAGAAGCTCGTGTATGTTAGGCCATGTCATTAATGATAGTGAAAGATTAGTTATGTGCATTTGCCACAGCAATTATTTATAAATCAAAAGGTGCTTATATTTATGCCATTGGAAAATATTGTGAGTCAACTTTGACTCACAAATGAATTTTTTCAAGTCAGAATTTCCAAAAATTTCTTATGAAATTTGCAAGTAAACACAAGCACTGAAACTTGCAATTGCATTTTCAATAAAACTATATCTATATCTAAATATTTAAACTTACTTCTTCTTGATCCTCACTTATCCATAAAGGAATAGGAGTTCCCCAGTAACGATTTCTAGATATAGCCCAATCATGAGCATCTCTCAGCCAATTGGCAAATCTTTTTTCTTTTACAAAGTCTGGAACCCTAAAATTATTTTATTAATTTTAAATTAATATTAAAAAATTTGACTTTTATACAAAATTTACTCACAATAGTAAAAAACTCATTTTACCATAACTGTATTAATTTTGTTTAAAAACTATCATTCTAANGGCACACGTATTTGTAAAATCTAAGTGACTCGTACAACATGGAATTCATATAACACGGAATTATCTACAGTGTTATAGGGGGGGTCTACTGTACATCATAAAGTTGACTGGAATTGATGTTTATACTTGTTTAACAATATAAATATGATGTTTTTAAGGTTGAATTTTGGTTTTATTATATAAAATCTTGATTATTAATGCAATGAGTGATGACCCAGGCCTATGTCACAGAGTTGCAATATATACACACAGTCAAATTTCTATATAACAAAATTGCTAAATCCTAGAAAAAAAATTGCCAAAAGGAAATTTCATTATACAGAAATTACACATTTTGGTAAACAAAGTAAAATTTTAACATAAATTTGTTCATTATTTTATGCAATTTAAATTAATATAAACATAGTTTTAATTTTAAGTAAGTTTACATTTGTGTTAAAATACTTACAACTTAGTTTAACTACATTTTTGTAAAAAATTATAAGTTTTTGTTGTACAAAACAATTAAAAAAAATGTTCTTTGTAATATGCTTTACATTTATTAAGAGCATTAAAACTGCTTTATCTGCATCCATATAAATGCAGGTTCTAGCACATTTTCCTGTAGATCTTGCATCATTGGATAATTTCAAAACTGATTCACAGTTTCTTATTATGGTTGATAAACCACTCACAGGAATTCTAAACTTTGATACAATATCTTTCTTTTTTTGAGCCTTTATCAATTTCCCACAATACATAAATATTTTTATTAATGCTTAAACACTATATTAACAGTTCAAATTCTAACTGGATGACTTATTAAATGAAATAAAATCTCACTAACCTCAAAAATTAGTCCAGCAGTTGTCAAAATTATCACCTTTCTAACATTTTTTACATTCATTAATTGTAAATTGTTTATCTGTCAATGATGGCATTTGGACCTAACTTATCCCCTCTTCTTTACAACCAATAGCCAGGTGAGGACAGATTACATAGTGGTTTTAAAAGCTAATGACCAGTATTAACAAAGGAATGAAACATGAAAATGGCAATAAGAACCTAATAGCCATCTAACCAGAGCATATAAAAATTTTGATTTTGTTGCACTGATGATTAGAAAATTCTGTTCCCATAAATATCAGAAAACATTCATTGTACTGAATATTTTAATTCATATATAGGGAAAAGAAATAACGTAACTCATATTGAATTCTCATACATCAAGTACTCATAAAGTACTGTGTGTGTGTGTTGTGTGTGTGTGTGTGTGTGCGTGTGCACAATATTTCCTTGATTATTATTCAAATTTAATAATGATAAAATAATAATCTGAGACAATAATGAGTATAAATGAACTAAAAAATGTTCTTAATTATTAACATCTGTATTATTATGAACTCTGAAAAACAAATAAGTACAAAAGTAAGAGTATATTTTCATATATATATGAAAAATATGCTATTGCTGTAAGAATGGAAAATTATTTGTTAATTGAAAATTTTATCATTATATTTTATCATTTTCATTATATATATAATGAAAATGATAAAATTTTCAATTAACAAATAATTTTCCATTCCTACAGCAATAGCATTCTGATTCTTATTTTTATACAGACTATACCGACTATAACAAAATAATTTTTTTGTGAAATTTTTATTGTAACAAAGGTAATTAAAATGATTTTGCCAAAAAGTAAACAAATATTCTCATTTTATCTCATTTATTTCAATATTTTAAAGTTCTGCTTACTTTTACATACTGTCCAACAAAATCACTGACAGGCTCTATAAATCTTCCATTTGCATCTATTGGACATATCATTTCTTGATCTTTGGAAATAATACCGTTATTAAGGCAAACACGAAAGTCATCCTAAAAAAAATTGCAATTTAAGTACAATTAGATATATCTATTCAGTTGTAATAAAATAATGATTAAAAAATTTATGTTAAAAATATAACAGAAATAATATATAAGAATCAACTGATTTAATAATACTTCTGAGAGTAAAATCAAATGTTACCTTCAAAATATTTAATTTTATTAATGGTATAACATAAGAAAAGAAATAATTTTCAGTGTATGCTTATTTTATCATTATTTATGATACTCTTGATTTACTACTGTATTTCATGAAATGACTGGCATGCCAGTCTATCCAGGGGAGACCATGAAATCAGATATTTCCTTATGATAAAAAAAGCTGGCATGCCTGTTTAAGTGAGGTTATACATTCCTCTCTAGAGGACAAATTAAAAAAAAAAAAGTGTTTTTATTCTAAAACTGTCAGCATCACATCAAAAACTATAATTATATTTGATATTGACTCAGGATATCTTCAGTTTGGAGGTTAAGACTATTTACAAAAAATTAAAACATTTTTCAAATTCAAAACCTTCAAATTGAAGATATCCTGGATCAATATGAAGTATATTTGTATGCAAATGAAGTTGTGAATGCCCAAAACTACCACTAGAGGGCCAGAACCAGTTATTTAAAAAAGGCTAAGGCATGATAGCACAGTGAGAAAATGTAACCTCTATTTTTAATGTAAAAATGTTGAATCCTCTAATAAAAGGCCAACGTTTTATATCATTTTTAACTTTGTGTGAATTTTAATTATTTATTATTTGTCAATTTAATGAAGTTTTTCCACAAGCTGTTTAACTGTTACTTCTGTGGTTGTGTAAAGGATAAGAAAAGACTAGAAAAATCTTTTTAATTTTTTGTAAATAGTCTTAACCTTCAAACAACAATTATATATTTAATTTCTTCATTTTATCTTTTTTCTAACAAGTAAAATACTAATGGAATTCCAAAAGTGCATTTTTGTGTGTATTTTATTGTTATTTGATTCAAAAATGCAAAATTAAACATGTTCAATTTAGGAATTTAAACCAGTAAATTATCTCAACTTACATCAATTAACATCAGGTTTGTTTGAAATTTGAGAGAAAGGTGTTATTTTTAAGGTCAGGATAGATGGTCAGTGTATTCCACACTAACTACAACTACTGCCAATAAGTCATTAATTGTTTTATTGTCTTGTAAACAAAAACACTCTTCCTGATTTTAAGTCAGTCAAAGTACAATGTTATTATTTTATTGTACTGAAAATAATGTTTTCTTTGATGTTTAACTAATTAACAATTAGTTTTGTTAGATCTGATTAATTTTACATTTTAGTCCCAATTGTAGAATTTCGTCAGATGGCAATGTTACTAAAATTAAATAGTCTGTCCAAAATTGGTAACCACCATTTATTCACTTCTTGTGTTCCAGAATATGAACAATTGACAACCTGACCATTCTTTGTAGGCTGCTTGGCCATCAAGTTTAAAATCATTATTACTTTAAAAAAAAAAAAAAACAGAAAAATATCCAATTAAAATTACAAAGACTACATCTTCAAATTAATTTTAGTAAAATTGTCATCCAATGAAATTCTATCAATACAATTGAAACTTTTGCAAAGATTCGTCACCAGGGGAAGCTACAATAATCTACATTTACCAGTGCATTTTCCTCAGTAGATATAAAGCCTGAAAATCCTCAGATGGAAAGAAAAACAAAGACGTCTGTAAGATCCGCCAGTTCCAATTTTAACTTTGTAATTTTAATTGGATATTTTTCTGTATTTTTTTAAAGAAATGATGTTTTTAAACTTGATAGTCAAGTAGCCTACAAAGAAAGGTCAGTTCATGAATTGTTTGTATTCTGGAACACAAGTGAATAAATGGTGGTTACCAATTTTGGACAGACTGTCTTCAAATTAATTTTTTTATTTTAGTCCCAGTTTAACCAGCATGCCAGAAACCCCAATGATTCTGCTTTTATGTGGTATACCAGTCTTTCAGCGAACATACAGTATGAACAGTTATATATATTAATAACTTAAGTATATAATTTATACCAATAAGTATAACTTATTAAATTATTGATAATTAGTTTCTATACCAGCAATGACAAACCTTTCTCCAAAGATGAGTCAAAACTGAATTTGAAATTTATAAACTCCAAACTGCAGTCAAATATTTAATTTGAGTAAGCCATATGTTACGATATTTTATTAAAAAACTTTTTATATTTTCAATTATTATAGAATGGCAAAAAACTTAATTTTGAGGGTAGTGATGGATTTTATAAAAAGTTGTAAATGCTAATAACAAGTAAAATCTTCATTAAGTTTGACTCTACTGGAGATACACACGACCCCCTTTATCTCCCCTCCTCCTCAACCGTTAATCACCAAAATTTAATAGCAATACTCCCCTAGTACACTCACCTTCCTGCAAAATTTCAGAAATTCTCAATCAAAAGCACAGGAGTTATTAAACTTCAAAGCAGGAGAACAAATTTATGCCCCACCCACACCCACACACATCCATACATGCAAATTATTTTGCATTTCTTGATGTTTCAAGATATCCTGAGTAAGGGTGCACCGATTAATTGGTAAGTAATCGGTAATCGGCCGCTTAGCCAATTAATCGGTATCGGCCATTCCCTCCGATTAATCGGTTTCGATAATCGGCCAATTTTACATTTTGGTATTTTTGTTAGAATGTTATGTACAATGCTAGTAATAAAAACTAATAAATTTCTGTTATATATTTATTATTTATTACATGACAAACTGAATATTAAAAAAATTTTACAATTCAAATTATTCCTTTTATCGATACATATTATTAGTATAATATAACGTATAATATAAAGTTTAAACTTTACATAAGAAAAAGTATTGAATAGGTTAAGAAGAAAAATTAAATTTTTATTTGTTTCATAAGTTTAAAGTTTAAACATATAAAACAAATAAAAATTTAATATTTAAACTGTAAAACCCTTAAATTGTAATGCAAAAACATGAGAATTTCATCATTTTCAGGGCATAACCTATTTTTTGCCGGCTCATAAATGTTACCTCCAGTGCTGAAAATTTTTTCACTTTCAATGGAAGATGCTGAGGCACTTAAATATTTCATAGCTATTTTGCTCAAATTAGGGATAAATGTAAATATGTTTCTAATTCTTGATCGAAACGTTTGTTCGTCTCTTTCGTTTTTTTTTTTTTTTTTTAAAAACATGCTATTCTTCATTCTTTCGTTTACCAGAAGCTAATTCATCAAATAAATCAGAAAAACTTAGAAATTCACCTCCATCTTGATCACCTCCAGAAGTAGAAGCTTCAGAATTTAATTCTTATTGAGATTTCCTCTAGCATATCCTCTTTTTGAAATTTCATTTTGAATCTAATAAAAATGACAAGCATAAAGACTTGTTTTCTATATATGCTGAAAATCTTTTTTTATTGGATTTTCTAGTTCTTCTGTTGTGGTATTAATGCCACTAAAGGAACTACTGATCTTTGCTTTTGATAAGAATAATTTCAGAGTCTCTATTGTGGGAATTATTGAAGATGAAGTGGCTTCTCGTTTGCTGGCTTTCCACAGTAATTTCTTTGAATGGTTTTACAAGTAGAACAATTTTTTCAACGAGAGACCACTGATATGGGCTCAACGTAGGAATTTTATTATCTATAGCATATGTGACAAGGGCCTTTTGCTGTTCCAACATGTAGTATGTAGAATTCCAGCGAGTAGGAACATCTTGAATTAATTTGTGTTTCTGCAAACCTAACTTTTCTTGCAAACCTTCCAATTTGATTACAGCTACAGCAGAATGATTAAAATGTGTGACAATATTTCTATTAACTGTGATTATACTTTTCACATCTTGTTTAGAAAATATGCATTCGTTTAGTGTCAGCTGCAGCGTATGTATAAAGCATGATAATGCTTCTAAGTTGCAATTCCTAATTCCAGCTACCATATTCGCTGCAGAATCTCTTAGTACTAAGAATATCTTATCACTTGTCAACTTATACTGTTCAAGAACAATTTTTAACTGTTCACTGATTCGTGTAGCTGTGTGGGAACCTTCAAAGGAAACAATTTGCAAAACAGCTCTTTCCTGCTGAAAATCATCCTTCAACCAGTGGGCTGTTACACTTAAAAAAGGAGAATTGTTTGTAGTTGCTGTCCAAATATCAGTGGTTAAAGAAATATATTTTGTTTCAGTTAAACACAGAAACACTTCAGCTTTTTAAAACAATGTCGAAGTTTCCATGCGTCAACAATTAAGTGTTGAGATTTATTTTATAAACAAAGGAAGATATTGTTGATTTTGTGAGGATATTCAATCGTCTCTTGTTTACCTGACCCGAGGGAGATGGAAATACCAGGTGGAGAAAAATGGGTTTTTTCCACATTATAATTAACTGTATAATTAACTCCAGGATCTCACACTATTAATGCAATAAATTATTATCACTAATCGGCCGATTAATCGGTAATCGACCATTTTGCTTATCGGTGCATCCTTAATCCTGAGTCCAAAAATGTAAAAATCTTAAGGTTATTTTTTGACTGATTACCATACTTTCCCTCTGTTATTTATAATGGAGCCAGGAAAGTAAAAAAATTGCAAATTTTACAAAGTTTTTAATCTATACCAGGAGAATAACAATAAATTCTCTGTAGGTGTAAGAATAAAGCAAACTGTTTATCAGTATTAAACTTGTTTATTTACAAAGTATTTAATTAAAAATGTGTAATTTTGACATTTTAAAACATCATCTTCAGGTTGAGCAAATACCATTTGAATTATAATTTTTAAAAACTGGTTTAAAAAAACTCTTTTTTTAAATTGTAATTCAAATGCTATACAACTGGTATAACAGTGTAATAATTTTAAAAATTTATTACATATTAAAATAAAACTATTTTCTACTTAAAATTTAAAAATTACTTCTCCAAAATATGGTGCTTGATGTACCACACCAGTACCACTTTCTTCTGTTACATAACTATCACAAAGAACTTGAAATGCCCCTTTCTCTTTTAACTGAAATATAAAAAAATCTCACATAAAATAGAAAATTTTTAATTATTCATAACTAACATCACAAAATGTAGAATATTTTAACACACAAATATTTTACTTACATGGGAAAAATACTGGAAAAGAGGTTCATATCTTTTACCCTTTAATACTTCTCCTTTGAAGCTAAATTATTATTAATCAAACTTTAAAAATTTTATAAAATAAATTTAAAATTCTTAATTGTAGATATTAAATGCTTGATTAATTTCCATGTAAAAATTTATAAATTATATTTTATATTTTTAAAAATAAATGATTAAAATCAAAAACATTAAAAATAAATGTGTTTGTTTTGTTGAAACAGTATATGTTTTTATGCCAATTTAACAATATTTTTACATTTCTGAAGATAAAGTCTGTCCAAAAAGGAACCACCATTTATTTATCTCATGTTCCAGACTACACACTTTCTTGGCGACTGACCTTTCTTTTTAGGCTACTGGTTGCCAGAAGTTAAAAAAGTCTTTTTAAAAAAACAAAAAATATATCCAATTAAAATTACAAGAATTTATAAAAAAGAACTGGTGACATATAGACTTCTTTCTTGCTTCCATCCATACCTTCTTGGGGTGTTACGGCTTTTATCTATTGGAAATGAGTGCTGGAAAATGTAAATTTTAAAAAAGCTGCCCCCTGCTGACATTTTTTGGACAGACTTTATCTTCAGAAACTTAATAATTGCCATTCAGACAAAAATTTACAATATTTTTACAATTTTAACAAGAAAATGTAAAAATAATGTTACATAATGTAAATGATTTTTACATTTTCTTATTAAAAAATGAAATATGAAAATGTGACATTAAAACATATAGTATGTTGACAAAATAAACAAACCTATAGTAATGTTTAATAATTAGAATAAACTATAAAATTGTGCTTAAAAATTAACATTCATACTGAAATTTCTTGATACAGACAAATGTAAAAAAAATCTATATAACTAACCTTTCTAAAACAGTGTATTCCTCTGGTTTTTTATAAAGTGCTTCTAATCTTGCTTCCATCATAATATATATCTTATTCACTGAATTATCTGAAATAAAAATACATATTTATAACACACTTTATTGACTTCTAGCAGTGGGTTTAATACAATAAAAACATTTTCAACCTAATCATAGATTTTTCTTCAGTTAGAATCTACAGAAATGAAACAAACTAATAAATTGAGTATAAAACTAGCATTTTAAAATTAAAAGAAAAAATACAAATTAGAAATTTGAAAGTTTTAAATTTAAATGAACACAATATAAAATTAAAATTTAAAAACAAATATTTGATTACCAACATTTAAATTTCCAAAATTTAATAGAAAAATTTTTTTAATTTTTAAGCTAAAACAAAGTTGTTTTAGTGTACATAGAAATGATAAACCAAAGGAAAATCATACCACTGCACCAGGAATCTATCCTATCCCACCGGAAGATCAATGTTATAAATGAAAGCTTACATACATGAGATCCACTGCTGGAAACCTGAATGCAAGGCTTAAGCATATAAATATATAATTAACAGAAACATAAATAGCACAGTCTTAATGAACTAGCCAGGCAGCAGATATACAGGTTGTGCGGGAAGTTGCAACAATAATCCAACCTAATAGAAATTCTGACAATCTCTGTCACTTGGAAATGACAGAAATATTTAAAGCTCATATAAGACAAGAATGCATTAATTTTACAAATGCAAACAGTCTATCCATAACTTAGAAATGTAATTTTTGAAACTTAAACTTTAATACTTATATTAGTTATGAACTGTTTTTTATTTTACAAATTTTATAATATTTTTTTCATTAAATTTTTAAAATTTAAATGTTGGTAATTGAATATTTATATTTACACTTATATTTTATATTTTACATTTATTGTGTTCATTTAAATTTAGAACTTTCAAATGTGTAATTTGTATTTTGTTCTTTTTTAATTTTAAAAGGCTAGTTTCTTACTCAATTTATTAGTTTCTTTCATTTCTGCAGATTCTAACTTAAGAAAACCAATGATTATGTCAAAAACATTTTTATTGTATTAAATCCAGTGCTAGAGGTCAATAAGGTGTTTTTGTACCACATATTTATAACATTCAAAAAATTTTATTTTTGTACTCTAAAATATTACCTCTAATTTTAACATAAATCATCTCAGGATTAACACACACTGATAAATTACTAGGTAAAGTCCAAGGTGTGGTTGTCCATGCAATCAAACTTTCTTCTGTTCCATCAATAGGGAAGCTCACAAAAACTAAATATAAATAATAGCATTTTAATTTATAACTTTGTAATTTAAGCATACATAATAAATAGAGAAAACAAAAATAACTTTTGTAAATATAATTAAGCTCACAAATGAAGTGAGAGATCCAACTTTACACCAAATACCATTATGAGACAAAAAATTTATTAAAGTAAGAATTCTGAATAATTTTAACAAGCACAACATTTTACTACTTTTGGTAATATATTATACTTATTTTGTCAAATAAGAAGCATTGTGTTTAGATAAATTATTATTAAAAAAATCCAAAAAACTGATATTTTCTCTACAATTATTAAAAACAAAATTCTAATATTTAACCTTAACCTATGTAAAGTAACTATAACTTATACAGTAGAATATGCTTATTGTATTGACTTTGATACTTTCTAATACTGATAAAAATGTTGGAATGACAATATTAAGAAGATAAAAGACTATAGTAAATGCTAACTCTGGTTTTATTGGCCAACATAAAAAAGGTTTATTAAAACATTAAAACAATTTAAAAATGTATAATCTAAAGATATACTAATTATAATTTATTATTTATTAATAGTAATTCATCCATTGTTATTTTTAAAACAATGTATTAGGAAAAAATCCTTCTTATTCTTAGAGTTTTCCTTGCCATTATACAGGTTATTATACACAGACAAGAATACAGCATAAACAATTACTGAACTTTTGCAAATAATCTGAACAGAGAATAAAGAAATATTGTCATATTTGTTGTGCAATTAAAATTTTCACTATTTTAGGAAGCCTCCTAATTAACTTCTAATTGAAAGTTAATAATTTCAGAAAAACAGCTTTCAGGTCATCTTACAGAATAGTTATTCTTACAGAAATATTGGGTTGTTCGGAAACTTAGTTAGTTTTTTTCTGTGGAAAAAAAACGATATTTTTATAATAAATAAATATTTTATTGAATTATTTATTGACCATTTTGGTCAAATATCTGTTATCATCGTTTCTGGTAGTAGCATGATTTCACATTCATAAAAGTTTTGATCGTTGCTTACAAAAAACTGATCCAAGTGATTTTTGACATTGTCATTTCAAGTAAATGTCTTACAGTTAAAAAAAAAAAATTTGTATACATCGGAACAAGTAATAATCTGAGGGTACTCTATCTGGCAAATATGGTTGGTGTGATAGCACGTCCCATCTAAGTTATAACAGTTTCTGACGAGTGTTACCAAACTTGTGTGAAATTTGACATTATCATGGTAAAACACTATACCTGTTTTGTTGATCAGTTCTGGCCGTCTTTTCTGTTTGATGATATTATTCAATTTGTTTACTCGATGGTGGTACACTTTCGAATCAATTGTTAAATTGTCTGGTAAAAGCTCCAAAAAAAAATTCCCTAAAATCCCACCAAAGAGAGCATCTCTCTTTAAGAACATGTGGAACCCATATATCAAGCTTTGAAATGAAACCAATTTGTTTCACGTATCATAAACAGTTCAATTTGACAAATTTAATCTCTTAGTGATTTCACGTGTTGTTATTTGGCAGTTTGCTTCCATCAGTACCTTTATTCTGTTTTCATTGGCTTCAACTGGCCATCCAGAACGTGGTGCATCTTCAATATTGAAATTGCCAGAACGAAATTTTGTAAACCAGTTTTGGCACTGTCATTCTGTCAATACATCTTCTCCATACATGTCACACAGTTTTTTTCTCACATGAACAAAAGAGCAAAATATGCGAAAAATGCTGCTTTCCATCTTCCTTATTTGATTGGACACAAAAAATAAATGATTGCACAAAATCAAACAAAATTTTTTACAAATAAGCCTTAAAATGCCAGCTGTCGAAATATATAATGATAATACGGTTTAGAATAAAAATGGTGGAAAAAATATGACTAATCCATCTAGCGGTAAAAAAGTACGAACACTTTCCAAACAACCTAATAGTATCAAAACTTTCTGTACTACTGAAATAACATGACTACTTTCTGTAAGAACAATAATTCTTAACAAGTACAACTACCATTAACAATATCTTTATTCATTGGGCTACAATTTGAAAAAACTGTAGTCTTATAAATTTCCACTGTTGTCCATCCATCTATCCACCTTTCTTTAACCTCGAGAAGAGTTAGATACATAAAAGATGAGACCAGATATGAAACCTTAGGGGCAAGAGGCCATAATTAACTACATATGAACTTCCAATGAAAACTATAAATCATGTTATTTCAATTCAAACATTTTTCCCTGAAAGGTGTTAAATATATGACCAGCACAACTCTATTGTTAAAGGAAAAGTATGATGTACAGAGGCAAGTCACTACTAATTTAAGGTAGAAAGCATATATTTTAAATTAAATAAATTAAAAATATGATTAAAAATTGCAACCTGGCATTTTGACGATGTCACAATAAATAATTGCTTGTTTCAATTAGAAAATTACATACAGACTCTATACTATTAATAGAACTGAATGAATAAAAAAAAAAAACTAAATTAAGACTAAGAATAAAAAAAATTAAAATGGATGTATTTATTATAACTACCATATCTTTATATGAAGAGATTCTCATATAAGGTAAGATCCATTAATACAAAGATATTTTTTTAAAAATGTGGCTGCAATAATCATGAAATAATTAATAATTTGTCATCATTTTCATTTGTTAAGTGGAAAGAAATAATAAAACACCATCATAAAATTTGTATAGAAAGTTTTAAATCTCTTATTTAAAAAAATATAAAATTGTTTCAATAATTTTAAATATTTTTACTGACTAAATATTTAAAAATTGGGTTTGATCAAAAAGAATTTATATTACCTGCTGGATCAATAACTTCTTTGTAATTTTGCCCAGATTCAAAATTTGATAAAGGTGTATTACATCCAGTTGAATATGGCATAACCTATTTATTGATTAATACATTTAGTTAATTAAAGATATATAATTACAAAGACTTTTAAAATTTAATAATTCAAAATTTATAAATATGTTTCATTAAGAAATACAATTATAAAATAAGGTCCTTCTTTTTTACATAAGACTTTAAAAAATATTGAATTTATATTATCTAAAATAAAATACAGTCATATATTTTGTTTTATAACTTTATCATATTTTAATATTGTAAAGATTCATAAAAGAATTTTATTCCAATCAATATTATAATATGATATAGTTGATGGCTATCAACTATAACAGCTGTCAAATATAATATTTTATAATAATAACTGAATATCAGTTGTATAATTTTACAATATTAGAGGATCTGAGGAGCTAAGCAACAGCAAGCTGATGCTCAGCTCCTCAGATCTATTCTGAGGGAACATTGATTTGAGTCTAGATCANGAGTGTTACCAAACTTGTGTGAAATTTGACATTATCATGGTAAAACACTATACCTGTTTTGTTGATCAGTTCTGGCCGTCTTTTCTGTTTGATGATATTATTCAATTTGTTTACTCGATGGTGGTACACTTTCGAATCAATTGTTAAATTGTCTGGTAAAAGCTCCAAAAAAAAATTCCCTAAAATCCCACCAAAGAGAGCATCTCTCTTTAAGAACATGTGGAACCCATATATCAAGCTTTGAAATGAAACCAATTTGTTTCACGTATCATAAACAGTTCAATTTGACAAATTTAATCTCTTAGTGATTTCACGTGTTGTTATTTGGCAGTTTGCTTCCATCAGTACCTTTATTCTGTTTTCATTGGCTTCAACTGGCCATCCAGAACGTGGTGCATCTTCAATATTGAAATTGCCAGAACGAAATTTTGTAAACCAGTTTTGGCACTGTCATTCTGTCAATACATCTTCTCCATACATGTCACACAGTTTTTTTCTCACATGAACAAAAGAGCAAAATATGCGAAAAATGCTGCTTTCCATCTTCCTTATTTGATTGGACACAAAAAATAAATGATTGCACAAAATCAAACAAAATTTTTTACAAATAAGCCTTAAAATGCCAGCTGTCGAAATATATAATGATAATACGGTTTAGAATAAAAATGGTGGAAAAAATATGACTAATCCATCTAGCGGTAAAAAAGTACGAACACTTTCCAAACAACCTAATAGTATCAAAACTTTCTGTACTACTGAAATAACATGACTACTTTCTGTAAGAACAATAATTCTTAACAAGTACAACTACCATTAACAATATCTTTATTCATTGGGCTACAATTTGAAAAAACTGTAGTCTTATAAATTTCCACTGTTGTCCATCCATCTATCCACCTTTCTTTAACCTCGAGAAGAGTTAGATACATAAAAGATGAGACCAGATATGAAACCTTAGGGGCAAGAGGCCATAATTAACTACATATGAACTTCCAATGAAAACTATAAATCATGTTATTTCAATTCAAACATTTTTCCCTGAAAGGTGTTAAATAGATGACCAGCACAACTCTATTGTTAAAGGAAAAGTATGATGTACAGAGGCAAGTCACTACTAATTTAAGGTAGAAAGCATATATTTTAAATTAAATAAATTAAAAATATGATTAAAAATTGCAACCTGGCATTTTGACGATGTCACAATAAATAATTGCTTGTTTCAATTAGAAAATTACATACAGACTCTATACTATTAATAGAACTGAATGAATAAAAAAAAAACTAAATTAAGACTAAGAATAAAAAAAATTAAAATGGATGTATTTATTATAACTACCATATCTTTATATGAAGAGATTCTCATATAAGGTAAGATCCATTAATACAAAGATATTTTTTTAAAAATGTGGCTGCAATAATCATGAAATAATTAATAATTTGTCATCATTTTCATTTGTTAAGTGGAAAGAAATAATAAAACACCATCATAAAATTTGTATAGAAAGTTTTAAATCTCTTATTTAAAAAAATATAAAATTGTTTCAATAATTTTAAATATTTTTACTGACTAAATATTTAAAAATTGGGTTTGATCAAAAAGAATTTATATTACCTGCTGGATCAATAACTTCTTTGTAATTTTGCCCAGATTCAAAATTTGATAAAGGTGTATTACATCCAGTTGAATATGGCATAACCTATTTATTGATTAATACATTTAGTTAATTAAAGATATATAATTACAAAGACTTTTAAAATTTAATAATTCAAAATTTATAAATATGTTTCATTAAGAAATACAATTATAAAATAAGGTCCTTCTTTTTTACATAAGACTTTAAAAAATATTGAATTTATATTATCTAAAATAAAATACAGTCATATATTTTGTTTTATAACTTTATCATATTTTAATATTGTAAAGATTCATAAAAGAATTTTATTCCAATCAATATTATAATATGATATAGTTGATGGCTATCAACTATAACAGCTGTCAAATATAATATTTTATAATAATAACTGAATATCAGTTGTATAATTTTACAATATTAGAGGATCTGAGGAGCTAAGCAACAGCAAGCTGATGCTCAGCTCCTCAGATCTATTCTGAGGGAACATTGATTTGAGTCTAGATCAGAAACATCAAGAATTTTACAGGCATTGCATTTCAGATATGTCAAGCTGCATCTGTCACCAGCCAACATCCCAATTATGGGCCTAGTCAAACTCATAATGGATATAATTAAGAGATTCTTTGATATAAAAATAAAATATAAAAAGTACAATAAATGTTTCTCATAACTGAAGTTTCTATATTAATAACAGTTAAAGATAACTTTTCAATTATAAAAACATTGCTTTTTCTGTTTCAAAATATATAACAAATAATATTCTTAGAATAATAACATTTAATTTGTCTTCAATGTCAAAATTATTATTTTATGAATGTAATATTCTAAGGATCTGTATATGATAATTAGGCATTTTAATCATGAATAATAGATGATCATTATCATTAAACTCATTAAACTCATACAGGTAAACACAATAAAATCTAAGACCAAATCAAAGAAAAATTTGCTATAATTGATCAATTTAGAATTGTTTTTTTATACATTCAGAATATATAACATATTGAAAAATATGTAAAAGAGTTATAGTTTTATTTAAAAAATTTTTTAATTAAAACTATAACTCCTTTTTTTAAGTACAGGTAGCCCTCGGTTTACACCGGCTCAATTTATGCCAATTCACAACAACACTGATGCGCAATTTGCCGTTTGCAGTGTAATTCCCTGATTTTCCCTATGCCAGACTGATTTTCATTTCAGTGTTGATGTATTTACCGAGCCTCAACATTGTACATTCATTAAAACAAAGATTTTTATTGAATATATTTATTTTTTCTGTTTAATATTATTGGGTATGTATACATTTGCATTAAATTAATATTAAAATACCAAACGTTTAGGTACCCACAAGTCAAGTTATCAAACTTAATAGTCCAATAAATGGCGTTCGAATCCATAGTGCCAACGAATGTATCCCATATCAGTTCGTTCAGGAAAACACCTTATGACGCAGTAGCACTTCCAGTGATCACAAACTATTGTTAGTGAGACAAATCTACTTCTCATTGGCCAGAAAATATCTATCTCTCCTTAGCCACCTTGAATTTTCCTGCTCAAACTGACCTTATATATGCTCCCGGCAACCGGTGGTAGACCAATCAGTGTCTCCACTTGTCTGTAGCTTTACGTCGGGTTAATGTATTCTTTCAACTATGGAAAGTTTGATGGATGAACTTTGTGAGTTAGACAATGATTGGGAGCGAAATTCAAATGTAAAAAGGAGCGTCATCGCATCCATTCGACCATATTCCAAAATTCTCAATGAAAGAAAACAAAAATGTAAACAATTAAAGATGGATACTTTTTTCCAAAAAATGTAAGAAATCCGAAACTAAAATATTTTAATAAAAACATTTCACTTTATTTTATGATAAAATACATTTTAAAAATTAAATTTATATGTATTTTGTATTATACTGTACTAATAAACAAAATTATTTGCTTATTTTTCACTTATGTAGAACCTAACCCTGTACCTCATGGTTCATTTTACGCTGATTCGATTTGCGCTGGCTTTTGTAGGAATGGAACTGCGGCATAAACTGAGGGCTACCTGTATTGGCTTGTCCCAATAAACATTTTTAGACTGTTTTGCACTATTTTGCAGAGGTGTAGCCTCTAATAAAAAGTTGTCTCTGCAATGAAATACTGTTGTTCCTGGTAATTGAACATGGTAGAAAAATGAAGATGTTTTAGTCTCTTCTATATATTTTTCAAATGTGTAAAATTTGTCAGCCATTTTTTAAATGAAAATATAACATATTAATTTTACTTTTTAATTTATGCCATAATATTTTATTATTAATGTGGTTTATGTTATTATATAACAAATTATAAATTTTAAAAAACTTACCTTTACACCTCTATATACCAATCCTTTATTGTAGAGTTCTTTAAAAACCCACCAAACACTTTCCATAAAAGAAGGATAAAGAGTTTTATAATCATTGTCAAAATCTATCCATCTACCTATTCTTCCAACTATTTCCTATTCATTAAATTGTAAAAATTTAAATACAGTTGTAAGATTTTTAAATTTTCATCTTGATTAATTCTTACTCTTAATCCAGATATCAAAACTCTAACATTTAATTTTATATCTTTTTAAAATATTTATAGTATTTTTATATTTGATCTTTAATTTTAATGGAAAATAAAAAAAACCTATCTAAAAAATTTCAGAAAATTTTCTTGCTAATAAAAACATATTTAATTCAGTTAGTTTATCTTCATGAGTAAAGAACTACAAAATATTAACATACACTTTAAAGAAAATTAATAAAAATTTTTATCAATAATATATTATTCTAAATTTGACAAAAATATATAAAATTTCATATATGTTTACTTTATATGAGTATAAAAAAACAAGTACAAATTTTACATCACACAGCTTCAAACTACATTTGCTAAAAGGAACAACAAACCTAAGTAATACACCTTAGCCTAAGTGATATATTTTATTTAGAAATTTATTAAAAATAATGACATATTTTCTCTAAGCTGTGCATATTTACATATGTAAAATGATTTATAAATTCTGTGATCACAGAATTTATAAGCCATTTTACTGTATTACATTTTTCTGTATACGTAGATAGAATTAATATAAAAAGATGTATATACATTTTTGGCATACTCTACAAATTTATTCTTTAGAAGAAATAAAATTTGTACTTTGGAAAAAATAATAATAAAATTACTTTTTGAATTTTATATTTTCTTTTAATCATTTGATACATAAAAGTTTTGCTTTCAAAATCATTAACAAATTCAAAAAATAATTTAAATCAGAACTTATCAAATATACAGGTAACCCCTGTATAACACGGCACTTCTATAGCACGGATTTACTTTAACACAGTTCAAGAATTGGGAACATCCCTCATATAGCACGGTTCTTTTATAGCACGGGTTCACTCTAACAGTTTGGGAATTGGGTAAAATCCTCGTACAACATAAAATGTAACGAAGGGTGAGTTCTTTTATACCTCTGCGTAACTCAGAACGAGCATTCTAATTGTTTTCGTGGCTACTTTGAATTCTCTTTCAATAAATAATCCATTTAATGATTAAATTATACAATTGGCACCCTTCTTTTGCCTCTAAAAGCTGATTTTAGAATTATAGATTCCTCCAAACGATACTATCGAGAGTGCGGGCGCTGCCATCTTCCTTTCACCGTCGTTCCTAACTGCCTACAAACAGCAGCGCATTCCCATTGCAGAGAGACCACTATTAACGAACACACCCACAAACTGTTACCAGTTGATGATGCTCACACTGAGATCATCATATAAAATGAATAATCCTCTGGTAAAATATTTACTTAAATAATAAGTAAGTATTTTACCTATGAAAAAAATGAATAATAAATCCGATTTAAATAAGGATTTAACAATATGTTTTTTTAATTTTTGGAACCTAACCCCCTTTTTGCACTAGTTATTTGTTTCGTATAACACGGATTCTCATAGCACACTATTTTGTAATGTAACTCCCATGTTATACAGGGGTTACCTGTTATTTCAAAAAACTGGATACTTAATTATATAACACTCACCAAATAAACCATTACCAGTTCATAACCAACATAAATAACAGAAAAATTCTTTCTACGAATGTTTTCATCTATATGTAATAGACATCCTCAGATATTGATGATATCGAACTAACGGCTAGTAGAATAGAATGTTTTTGAAAGTTCCATTTAACTACATAATTCGAATACGTTGCATTAAAATTGAAAATATGTAAAATATTTAAAACATATATTTAAAACGAATAAATAATTGATTTCACGTAGATCATGACGTAAATATCCTCCATAATTTAAAATATCTTTGATGCGCATCTCATTCATTGGGATCTAATTCAAATATGGCACGCCATGCTGCGGAAAGCATATCGGTTTCTTGAAACTAATACCGACCCCTTTTTTAATTGCCTTATATATCTCCAGCGATTCGAGGTACTTGAGTTGTGCCTTATCCGATACTTTGTGTAGCAATTTAGCGTTTTGTAGATCAACATGAACGTCCTCATTATTCGCATATGTCACTAGTGCCGTTGTGGTCAGCTTTTTTCTTATCGAGTATACATGTTCTTTCATCCTCATGGCGAGACCTCTTGAGGTTGCTCCAATGTATGTTAAAGCATGGTTAACCTGATGATCTTGAAGAGGAACCGCATAAACCCCTGGAGAGTTAGAATCTTCTATACAGTTTTTGTCATTTCTGATAAGAGAGAAGACTGTAGGAGAGCGTCGATATGCTAGGGATCT